CCCGACATGGTCTCCCCCGCGCACTATCAAGTCACCTGATAGATAAAGTATTCTGGAAGATACATCTAACCTACTGAAGGTGCTTTCTCGATAAACTAATCTTAGTATCACTGCCAGAAGCCCAATGGTGCCGTGAAGGGATGTAAAGTATAGGGAAAATAGAGCATCAAAAGCGTGCAGACTGTTGTAACAGTTTAACACTAGCAGGACATTATGTCGAAGTACGGTGATCGATACCACAGCACATGGAAGGATGGTGAAAACTTCTTAGTGATCAATGCGTTTTTGGAATGCGCCAGTGAACCCCATCGGCTCAAATCTGTTGTTTTATCTCAAAACCTTATCCGGGACACAGGATGTCAGAAAGTCTTCCCGAAACCAACTATTACATGGTCCATTTGGCGATGAGTGGCCAGCTTCGTCAGATGAACCAAAGGAAAAATTACAGAAGTTTGGCTGTTGATACGAATGTGTACAGAAGAATACGATTATATTAACGTGAACCGATCGTAGAAAACTGTTAGTGGACCAGAAAGTGAGTTTTAGGTTTATTCTTTTATCAGCCTGGATGTTCTCGAGTGGAGGCGAGATAGTTTATTTAGGAGTTTGATCATGTCATTTGCTCTAAACCCTTCTTCGATTCTTCTACCGGTTACGGCGTATGGCAGGACTGTGCTTGTCTTGTCCTTCTAATCTGACCCTTTTTAGTTGGTTACTCCTTGCCAATCAATTTACTGTCGTTGGAATTTAAAATCGAATTTACAATCGAAAGAATCCTCAGCGTCGTTAAATAAATACACGGTCAGCTGACCTGACGCTTGAGCTGAAACCGAAACACTATGTCTAACCTAACATGACTGTAAACAAGGCACGAATGGGTAGCAAAGTCCCTATGCAGAGTCCCAGGACTAAAAAAAACTAGCTGTCACGATGGTCTATCTGGAGGACGATGTTTGAGGCTCAAAACAGGAAAGGGTGCAAAGCCGCACATTGAAAAGAAAAAACAGCACCCGTAGACTCAGAAAGCAACCTAGAAGTGACGAAAACGGGTCACAAAAAAGGAACGGACAAAACGAATCATCCCGAATCATTCACAGTCCTCTACTTCAAATAGTGGAGCAATCTGTCAGAAAACCCATCAAGGGTATGTTATTGACCATGGACAAACAACTATCTTCGTTGGCTAAGGAAACCGTAAAAAAGACAGTCTTAGGAGTGAGCGTTCAGCAAAATAGCAGTTAAGTTATTTTGATGGGAAATTGGCCAGTTTATTGGAAAACAGTTAGGTGGTAGACAGTGGCTATTTTAACAATATTCATGATCACAAAGACACTTTGAGTGAAAAACGGATTCTCCCAGGTACGTGTACATTGCTATTCACGGTAAGTTATATAACCCCCGTAAATACTCAGGTGACGAGAAGATGACCAATGCTTATCCTACCCAACGTAGGTAGGATGCAGCGCTTAAACAAATAACACCTGACACCGCATGGTCAGAAAAAAATTGCCATATTTTTTATAACGTTCTCTTTTAGCAAGCAAAGACGATTTTATTTGTGCTGGAAATGATGAAATGAAGAAATAAATAAAATGAACTCAGACCAGTTGTACCGAAATAAAAAAACGAAATATTGTAAGAGTGCAGATGTTTCAACGATTAGTTCTACCCGTAGCCGTTGAAATCTTTAACAGCGAAGCCAAGACAAAACACTGGCACCCCGTTGCCGTATAATCATGTCACTTCATGTAAATGAGGACCTGGAACATTGGAAGGAGACCTGGCGCAAACTCGCCACAAAAATAAAGATGTCTGCACCACCAACACCCTGTCAGGCGGTCTGGATAAAAACTAACACCACACACGTCACTGATATCAGTTTGCAGCCACTGATTTTGCCGTATGCACTTTATGCTACCGTTTGGTTGAGGCTTTCACAAATTCGGGCGGCACAAAGAGAGATTAAAAAAGCTTCCAGGTGGTTCAGGAACTTGATTGAAATACTGTGTGGCAAACAGGGTCAGTCTGTGCTAAAAAAACAGAAATTGAGCTGGCGAGCTGATTTAACCTTGTTTGAGGAATATCAACAGTGCGTACTTCTAGGAGATTCAACCTTTCGGTTAATCGCTGAATGTTCCACCCTTCGGAAACGAGTTGGCAGATATGCAGTATGGTTAGGATAAGGCGCCACCGGCCTTCAATGCCGTAGTTCGTCGTTTGACACAGATTCTCGATTCCTGATTTCCCAGACCAAATGTCTGCGAAAACTGTGAGATTCTAGTCATCTCCTGAGATGAACCCTAGAGCTTCAAGGCAGCGAAGGGATGTTGAAGTTTCAAGTGACGGGTGGTGTGGCATTTCCTGTTTAATCATTCTGTGCTGATCGGCTACACAGCGCCGAACCTTCAGTGTTCAATTACTAGCCCGAAGATGTGGGGTCCCAATCGCCCTACAGGTTTGTGGAATGTACTCAGTAACGGTGAAACAT